GACTTATATTATCTCCTCAAAGCCGTCAACGCAGCACACGCATCAATAAAATTTACCTTAGGACGTGAATCGAACATGCCATTTTCAATCCTCGATGTACTACTTGCCAGAAGACACGACTGTACGATCCGAAGATCGAATTTTCAGATAACTTTTTTCGTATTCCTTTACATTCCCAATGGAACATAGGGGGACTTCAAGCTGGGGATCGAACCCCGAATTACCTGCATGGTTGGTGAGCATTCTATCGCTGTGCCACCGAAGCGATTTCAAATAATTACTTACTACTTAACTAATTATTTGCTAACTGTTTCGATTACGTTGGACTGTTAACAGTTTTTCACATCTTGCTATTTCTCATCTTTGTTGTAACTTCTAACCTATGTTGTGTTAATCAACACATTGTATACATAAGCTCCTAAATAACTGTACAGACAGCCCTAATGTGAAGTTACGAAAAGAGATAGATCTATTTCCTGTGTTACATCTGTTCTTAATTACGTGACATGGGAATTCTGTATACCTTGTAGATGATTACGGATAGCTACTCATAAAATACTCTTAAAATCAAATGGACTATTATTTTTAGTTAGTAGTCATGGGATTGGAGAATCCATTGTTTTTGGCTAAAACTGTACTACACTTGTCTGTCTATTGTGTGATATCCAATAAAAAATACTGATCTCCTGGGATTATTATTATTATCACGGAACTATATAACCTTGAGGCATCCAATCAGAGTTTGCATCGGTAATAATGAAACTGGATAATTTCACAATTAGCTGATATTGGTAATAGAATCAGTGGAAAATCAGAAGGGAGTACCTGACAACAGCTGTTTCGCCAGCTTAGTTTGGGACTCTTCCTCAGTAAGCACCCACTGAGGTTCAAACCCAGCACCTTCTGGTGACAAGGCTAGCGAGCTCATATATGACTAACAGAAAAGCCAACTTCACCATTTACGGAGTAGATTAAATCTGGGGAAAAAGTGATTAAAACCAAATGCTTTTCAGTAACTCCTTTTCTTGTCGAAGCTCAACAGCAGTTATCTTAGTGAATGTCGACAGTCCTACAGAGAACTGGAAGTTATTTTCGTGATATATACTTCAAAGTAGGGAACCTGTTGTTAATACTCTTACATTTCTTTAAACATCTTCTACCACGATTATAATCTGTATTTACGCTGGTCAACTCTGAGTGGTGGTCTCTTAGAGACCACTACTCTTAATTTCCGATACCTGATAAACAGAATGAGCTCAATAACACAATAAAGGCATCTGCTTAAACCATACAAAATTTACGCACATACTCATACTATGAGTCTTTGTTTAGCGATATACATTCAGCAACAATATCAGCCCTGAATATTCGCAGAATACTCTCCAACCAACTACACAAGTCGTCTTATTTCCTCTGATTTACTCACCGATAATGAGGCTAGGAAAGGACTTGTTGACCGTGAGTCTAGTAACCCTATTCCACAACAGAAAAAAAAACCTACTGCTACTGAAACTTCAAAGCTCAGGGGCTTGGAGCCCCTTCTATGTTCTACTGTAACAACAGAAGACAACGGCCAGGCAACAGATCATTTATTTACGAAATCAACACATATTTATAGATTATCATGTACATTATTATGGATTACTGTTAGCAAACCAACACAGATTTCTGATTGGTAATTTCTCGCTGAACGTTAATCTTTCAACTCTTTGTGACTGTTTCTTGAAGTTCAGATTATCTATCTGCAAATTGTATCCGCCTACGCAAAGTCTCCTGTGATTGGTTGTTGAATCGGTCTTTGTTCTTATTTTTCTCACGACCAATATTGGGAACATAAAAATTGACGTAAATTACTGTCTACCAATTTTGGCTAGTAGCCAGCTCTCACTTCACTACTTCTTGAACGCAGACGAATGGAAATATAAATACACTACTCCGATTATTCTGAATGCTACTCGTTGTCCTCCGACAGTGATGCGAAATCCGGGGTTCGATTACCGGTCCACTTATTTCTAAACTTCGCTTACGCTGCAGTAAGTAAGTCGAGGGAAGGGGTTAGCAACTCTACCCAGTAGGGAAAAAAATCGCCAACACTTACTGAAACTTCAAAGCTGAAGCTTGAAGTTCAATTCCCCTCCCTCCCCAAAAAAAGAACGCAAAGTCATGAAACTGGTTATCGTTATGTAACCTTCAGGGAGACAGTCTCCCGTTCTACATAACATACGCGCAATGAACTACTCATTATCCCCGCTATTAGTAGTAGTAGACGTAAAAAGTCAAAATATCCTGCTTGGTAGAGTAACTCATCTCTATTTATTCAGCCAACCAACAAAGTACAAAATTTCGCCCGTTAGTTTTTAATTATTAAAAGAAAGTAAAGAAAAGTAGGATAAAGAGGCAGCATATACACACACACACACTCACGCACATATACATACATACATACTAAGAATGCAAGAGACATGACAAAGCTTGTGAATAAAAAAACGAAAGAGAACAACGCAAGAAGTTGTATAATATAAACCTGGAGTAGTATGTCGAGAGGTATGTATGTATGTATGCATGTGATGTGTGTGTGTGTATATGTGTGCGGTAATATGACGCGTAGTAGATGCATATATGAAAAAAACAAAGGGAATGAGTATAAAAACTTATGAGAGTGTAGGTGTGAAGACAGCATATAACACTAAACCTGAAATTTATCATCAAACACACACATCAACACATACACATTTCCACAGGCAAACATACACACACACACACTCAGCAAATACAAACGTCCACACACACAAACACGCAGACATACATACATACAACAACAAACCAATTATTGACAACACGCTAATATGTATATATAATAAAAATGATAGCGAATGAGGTGACACACACACGCATTGAATATTGTCTGGGGGACGTATTCATTCGAACCTGAAATGCAGGAGAAAAAAATGGAAAAACAGTAGATATGAGGATATACGACGCACACTGTCAACAAATTATGATTACGAAAACAAAACAAAAAATGAGAACTACTTGTGACTACCATATGAATACTACACGTTGTATAACTGGATACAAAATAATCCCCAAGATTACAACGTGCACACACACACACGAGTTCAGTCTACAAAAAGCTACTCAATGAAACTAGCTGACCAGATGACTTGGCCGCAGACGGGTAGACATTTATTTATTTTGTTTATTTAGTTATTCTATGTACCTTCCCATCATTATTACGATTATTATTTTCTATAGTTTGGTTTGTAAGGGTTAGTTATGTTTTTACAAGTTTACGAGTGCGTACTGCCGATGATTCCCAAACAAGGATGAAACAGCAGCTGTCCAGTACTCCCTGGTTTCCAATGCTTCTGTTACTGATATCAATCTGTGATGAACACGATTATTATTATTACTACTCTCAGTCCGAATTGTATCTACTTGTCCCACTTGTCATACCAAATCCAAAATTATTAATTTTTTATTTTGATGTGGTTGTGTTCGCTGAGCTGGATAGTTGATTTTGCAAAGATTTCATCACCCTAATAGGCGACATAATTCAAATCGAAGTATGCGCTGAAGATGTCGCCTAGTAGGGCGATGAAAGCTTCGCAAATCAACTATCCAGGTCAGCGAACACAACCACATCAAAATCATCCACATGAGCTACAAATCTTCTCTATCATATATGAATTTTTTATTTTTACAATAGCGAATTCTATGTTATCAAATTTCACACCATATCATGTAACATTTTATATTTGCCTACTAATCCTATAATTATGCGCCCCTTTCCAACATTTATACACCTAATGTATTATTCTATATATGACATTATTTATTTTGCCACTTGACATTTAACTATGAATATAATCACAAATATTTTAATTGCATTTCATACTATTATTATTATTTCGTGTATTCACACCTTTGACCTAATTCCCTCACCGGATATAATTTCTTAAAAAACCATATTATACACACGACTGTACAGTTTGATAATAAATTCGTTTGATTGCATGGAGGATTTAATCATGAGCTGACATCAGTTAGAGAACCACTGGAAAAGTCTCTTGCAGCACTGTCCAGCACACATATCTGATAACTAAAAATTTCGCTGAATAGCGAGAACAGGCTACACACACACTATAACCAAGGGAACTTCATGGTTTGAAAATGGTTATATATATATATATATATATATATATATATATATATATATATATATATATATATATATATATATATATATATATATATCACGAATTGGCAGAATCTGGAAATCAAGGACCAGTGGGGTAGGGGGTCCCGGTGTCCAAACAGACTGCGAGCTCTCCTCGTAACTGGAAGGTATTGGGTTCAAACCCTGGAGGTGGATGCGTACTGTTGACGAGTCCCATGCCAATACTCCCCAGTGGATTTTCAATGACTCGCTAACTCCTGATATGTCAGCTCATGATTAAACCTGTACCTAGTTAAAATTTCTGCAGCAAACCAGCAACACTTGAAAAAAGCTACAAAATAACAGAAATTGACAGTATTATCAAATTAGGTTACACTTATAATTGGGGGAAAAACCTATTCAGAGATAAATAAACACCAAAAACAGTGAAAATTCCCAAATTGTTTTAAAAAACACAAGTCATACAACACACTATCCAAACTAATATTGTTTATAATATTCACGCATACCTTTGGCGAAAAATGCATGAAACTTGCCTGATTGAATATATATATGTATATATAACTTCATCCAATTATAAAACATATATAATGATGGTATAGAGATATTCACAACAGGAGATAATATTATCTTCGAAGAATAATTTTTGGGAGTAGAATGATGATGTGGTGGCGGTGATGGTGTTGTTGTTGTTGCTGTCATCGACGTCTTTTTTTCTGCTTTTTAGAATTATACATACTGACAATGTGAAGACGAAGACCTTCCTTACTCATCAATCATTATCGTTATACGCCTCAAAATTCGCCATCACCGCAAAATTTCAAAAATCTAAAACCATTACAATTAATAATATACACCCGAACCCCCAAAAATAAACAACAAAAAATAATATGATGCTTAAAAAGAAATATGACAATTAGACACTGAAACAACACGATGTATCTATGTTTATCTATCTTATTTCGAGACACGTGTAAATCTATTTTTAAAAGAAAGTTGGAACAGTAACCATTCATCAAATGAAAAACTCGACTATCACCATGTCAAAAGATAAAGTGAAGAATGACTGTGATTTTTAGGTTAGATTCGAATACGACTACTCTCTCTCTTTCTCTCTACAGTGGTGCACAGAATAACATAACACGAATAGCTAACATGAGTGAAGTAATACACACCAGCCGGAAGTTCAACTAATATTATTTAGCATACATATATCAAGCATCTGTATCGATTGAATGTGGTGTTTTTAAACACAAAGATATCTATATAACCAACCAACCAGTGAATATTAACTATGGGGATGCACACACAAGACAGCGAGAGTGGTGAGTGGCAAATAGAAAGAATCAACGTGAATTGATGAAGTAATATAAACACAACCGCTTAAGCGGGGACATATATATAACTCAAAAGAGAAAATTGAATACAATATTATAATACTTACCAAAGTAATTCGAATGGAATAGAGGAGAAGATGGGAAAGGAGACAAACAGGCAGACAGACAGACGGGTAGAGGAATTTGTCTAAATGCGCATGTGTAGGAGGGGTCAAGTTTACTCTGGATCCCGATTGAATGAATAAACGAATGTAGTATAGATTACTCAAAGCAATTGACACATATTCTGAACAGTATATATGTATGTATATGTCTAACTGAAATGAATACGTTATGTGTTTTACTTGACGATGGAGAGTACGTGTGTGTGTGTGCATACATGTATATATGGTGGCGGGTGGGGGGGCAGAAATAATTACAAGGATATTTTTTTCCGGTATAAATTTGTCAGCAAAAACAAACAATCATTTACTGGGCAGAAGAAGTGAAGACAACAGATCGTGGATTTTCAGATGATATACGTGCACGTTTTCGAAAATCCTCGGAATCATTCATGTTTTCAGCATTATTACTATGACAATCAGAAGAAACAATACCTGAGACTGTTTCGTGAGATGTTGGGTCAACTGATCCAGTACGTTTTGGTGTACGTCTACCAGGAGAATCGGTTAATGTAACCGTGTTATTGCACGGGATATGATTTGGAGATAAAGGTTTATCTTGTTTGAGATCCTGAAATATAAAAAATGCAGTAGAAATCATTTTACCAGTAGACACACATTAAGAATTCACCAACTGAATATGTAGTAAATATTCACGTTATAGTTTCACACGTATACATCATACAAAGCTAAATATACCGTTTTAGACCTTTGATTACTCTTATTTGGTTGATATTTGAAACGATGGGTACTAGGGTTTCCAGTTTCAATGGGAACACCACTCATTGGGCATGTGAGTCCCGACCAATGGTTGCTACCTTGACGCGACTTGTATATCCCAACGACTGAATGAGCTTCATCGGTTGGAACTTATGTTCCTGCAGGTCATAACATACCAGAAAGTTCGTTTGGGTAGTGGTTAGGCTACAAGCAGTTGACACCATAGTTGAGAGTCTACGGGCGAAGTTGTACTGTTAGGGAATACGGAATTAGGAGCAGTAAGGTATTTCCCCTAAATGACTACCAAGCCAGTTTTGCTGTCTCTCCACTTTGGAGAAGGGGATAAGAAAAAGTTCGACTCCGAAAACTGTACTTCCCGGCTTGTCTTGCGGCGGTCCTTACCCGGTGGTAAGATATCTTAATAAGGACGCAACTCCGAAACAGCTTAAAACAAGCGATGTTGTTGTTCCCTGTGCTCTGCAGTCAGGCAATAATTAAGCTTTTTCTGAAGCATGTGCCCCAAAAAAAAAATGCGAGTGCGTCCAGACGAGCAGTCTTAAACACATCGAAATGCACATCCTCGATTTTACTGCTAGTTACCATCAACAATCAAATAACATCAGGTAAACATCGTCGAAGTGTCTGCACACTAGGAGACGATAGGATAACTGAGATTGTTGGATATTTGGATTCAATGAAAGCCAATCAGTGAGAAATTAAGGAAAGTCTTAATAAACAAATTGTGATCACTTTTCCATGAAGTTTCTACTATGTGAAGGCATTTTTTTAAATGTATCAGACATAGAATCACTACTGACGAGATGATAATAAACGTTTCAGCTGCATAAATGACATCACTTGGGACTAGGTTATATGTACACTGTGCGTTGTGATTTGCTTATTAGCAAATTGATACTGTAAGAAAACTGACAAATAAATGGCCTACAAGTCACTTAGTGAGTGTCAGTGGTTCAGTAGTAGAATGCCCGCCAAGCACTCACATGGTTCGGGGGTTCGATTTCCCAGCCGACGCAATCCATAACCTCGCTACGCCGGCATTAGGCCCAGTAAAGAAGGAAGGTCGAGAGGTTAGCAACCCTACCTCATAAAAAATAAACACCACTTCTACTGCACCTTCAAAACTTAAGATTGAAGCCCTATGTTCCACTGATAACATAAAAGAGTGGAAAAAAATAATGAAACTGTAGAAGAGGTTGTCTACAAGTCATCTGGGAACCCTTCTTTGTGATATGTAGAAATATTACATTGGTTAAACGTACTTGACTGTGATTATTATTATTATCATAATCATCATTGCTGGCGGTAGTGGTGGTGGGATCAGTTGTTTCATTCCCATGAACCTCAGTCAATAAAGTATCACCTACACTGGAGCACGTAGACATTGGAGAAGAAGGGGGACACTTGACATCTGTTATAGAATTTCTAACAGATGCATTCGTCATCATCAGTGAACTGGTGGATACAGATGTATGTAAAGTGTTTGAAGGAGAGGAGACTTCATCAGATGCAGAAAGTTCAATACAACTTGCTGGACTGGACATAGAGTTCGATGTGCTATTATTGTTACTGCTACTGTTACTATTCGTATGCATACGAAAAGACTTAAGATTCTCTGAACTATTTACATTTGACACAGCAGCCGCCGCCGCTTGCCGTTTAATTTCTTCCATGTCTTCTGTTGAAATAAAGTGAACCAATTGTGATCTATAATAATGGTAAGGAAATAAGGCAAAACATCATTACACTTGATACAATGATATATTTCAAGCAAAGTAGGAATTAATGAAACATTCTAACACATTCAAGAGTACGTTTTCAGGAATTTGAATTGATTGGTTATAGGAATTCATCATAAGATGACATCTGTTAGAGAAGCATTGGAAAACCAGCTGAGAGTAGTGGACAACTGTTTCGCCTTGGTTTGAGGCTCTTCAGGATATATTAATATTACACGACTGAAGTGGTAAGTCATGTTGTTAAGTGATTCAAAAGACAAGGGATTACGAGTGAACTAGTATTTGGGTACACTTAGTCTAATGGATGTAAACAACCTAGCAACATGTATATATGTTGCATACAGGTGATAACTGAAAGTGAAATGAACATCTGGGTGAGTACAAACCAGTAGCCTCCCCAGCAATATCTGGTCCAGTGCTCTAGTTATTATTATAAACAAAAACTTGGTACAATATGGGCACCAAAAGATATGCCACACAAAGCCGATATAACAATATATGAAGAAAACAGGAATACAATGAATGAGGGACATCATCCAGAAAAAATAAAAAGCATATTTGTCAAGATTATTGGACACTCATGACTTTGAATTACTCTAGAAAAGGGGAGAAAGGAGGAAATGGCATCATGTTCACCATGGATGACAATTGTTAGTCATGTTTGATAATGTTTCTGTCCCACCGATTAGAAGTATTTCTCGGGCCACACAATTAGGGAGTAGTGACGTGTCAACTGATGGCTATAACCTTGATCCCACGATGTCGCTTTATAGGCTGGCCATCTTTTCCGCTTTTCTATCCAGCCCCAGGGCTAGCAAACGGAGACCGATACGGATGATATTCGTAGCGCATATTAAAAAGCCACAAAAGCTGGTATTCCCAGATGAAAATATTCAGTGAATGATGATCTCCAGCCATGTCCAGATACACGTTGTCGAACCTCAGAACTAATCACACGACGATGCTATCAGATGCAAGCAATTTCAAGGAGAAAGTGATGACCGAATGTGCAGAGACGCCACCGCAGCTGAACTAAAAGGCATAACTGCTAACCAGGTCATCATTTCACTGAAATATATATATATATATATAATATCTAGTCAGTACTTCTATGTTTCAGAGTCTTGGTGAGCAAATCACGAAAAACATTTCCAACAGGCTACTGGAGACTTTCATCGACAGCTGCTTATTTCGCTGCATACTAAAAATAGATCAGATGACCAGAGAGGATTAGTAACAACGAAGTTTGAAAGAGAACTGGCTAAAAATCGACTAGTTCAAGAAATATGCAGAAGGGAATAAAGATGGACTGAAAGGATGCACTGAAACGGCTGTCGAGGGATATCATGAGTAAGGTATATCGTCGGTTGGAACTCCAGCGCGAAGTAAGCGATGAGTTAGGCACCCAAAGATAGGTGACACAGAGGAATGGCATTAGACTTAGCTTACTGCTTAGTGATAAAATCACAACAGGATTGAGACAAGATTTCGGAATACACGCAAGCAAAATACTACCACAGTAGACAAGAAAATTACTTTCCATGGATTCCTACTGATTGCCTAATAAAATAAAGCACTCAAATAATACTTTGCAAATCTTTTAACTGGGTGTAAGTAGCCACACTGCACACCGGATAGAAAAATTCAGATCAGCACTAAAGTGTTTACTAACCGACAGTTCAATTCGTGACAAACAAGTATTTTCAAGTATTGGTTTTGTAGGGATTTTGTTTGATTGCATGGAGGATTTAATCATGAGCTGACATCAGTTAGAGAACCACTGGAAAACCTGGGAGTACTGGACCAGGACCTTCTGGTTACAAGGCGAGCTCGTAGACCATTGAGCCACTGGGACCCGATCCAATGGTCCTTGAATTCTAACTTCGGGTCCCAGCGGCTCAATGGTCTACGAGCTCGCCTTGTAACCAGAAGGTCCTGGGTTCGAATCCTGGTGGGTGCGTACTGATGAAGAGTTCCAAACTAGGACGAAACAGCTGTCCAGTACTCCCAGGTTTTCCAGTGGTTCTCTAACTGATGTCAGCTCATGATTAAATCCTCCATGCAATCAAACAAGTATTTGGCACACGTCAGAGTGCTTATATGTGATGATTCTGAAACTTGGCGCACGCATCATCAAAAAGTATTTTCAATTTGACGACTGCAGACTTTCAGTAATACCTGCCACCCTCTCGAAAAGTAATAAGGAATCCATATATGGAAGTGAACTAACCAACAACTTATCACCTAACAAAAATGCAAAAAGAAATAACGGTAGATGGGACATGAGCTGAGGAGACACCTCTCCGAGTGACAACATACACGACGAACTCTCAGGTGGAACCTGAATCTAAAGCGAGAGAGGTCGGGTGACCATACAGAAGGTCATAATAGAGACAAAATGCAAGCTTGTAGTCAGAGTTTTGGAGTTAGTAAAACGCAAGGAATGATTAATGATAATAAATGTACTCTCAGCCATTAGGACTTTAATCGGTCAGTACGAAAGATTGGTTAGAAGGACTTGTGAACTACTACTTGAAACAAAGATCTGTTTTTACAAAATTACATAAGTCAAAAAATTCTTTATTTTAACAAATAATTAAACTCACTTTTTAACATATTTAACAGAAACAGATAAATCTTCACTGGATAGACCACGTTCAATTGATTTTTCAAATGAGCTAATATTCTCACTTAAATCCACATTCAGGGTTGGTTTATCAGTTGACGAATTATTTGAATTATTATTACTACTACTATTATTATGTACTGTACTCGTTAAAGAACTAGTATGTCGATCAAATTCCATGCCAATAAACCATTTACGTACAAAATTAGCATCACCATCGTTGGGTCCTTTACCGTAAGCACGACAATTTACATGTGCCATTTTAACATAACGATTCAACTCGAAATTACTGACAAGTACACGTAGTCTAGATTCAACTAGACCGCATAATTCAATAAACGTGTGCTTAACATTTCCAACAACAATGACAACAACATAATGTCTATATTGAAAGAAAAATGCTGCTTCGAATAAATCAGACCAAGAACGTTTATGCATCATTGATTCTCTAACAATGTTTAAACCTAGTTTTGAAAGAAGACAAAGAAGAGAAGAAAAAGATTTTCATACATATATAGAGGAGATAGTGACTTTTATTGCAAAGCGACTGAAACTGAATACTATTAATGAAAGGGAATACAGCAACAGATGTGTCCATCCTGCCGTCAAAATGCTGGTGCCTCTGTGTATAAAAAACAAGCTGTTCAATTAAAGAATCTTAATTAGATGATTTTCTGACGTTGGTCAACTCCAATTGGGTAGTTTATGAAAGGACAAGTACGCGTGTTAGGAAGAACAGAGATTGTTGAACATGTGCCCAACAGTCCACATCTTTTCTTAGACAATATCAATACATAGTTTTGTGTATCTGGTTGTGATACAGAGCATTAAATCGACACATCCGAGTCTTTCAAGTTGGTGAAAATACAGAGTACGTGACAACAGTTACTTGACATTTCTGAAGCTGTCATCATTTGAAGGATGAAGCCTGCATTGTTTGTTCGAAGACAGATTCTATTACTATTTACTAACTGATTATTTTGTGAGCCGGGGGCATAGCGGTTGAGACGCTCGCCGACCATGCATATGGTTCGGGGTTCGATCCCCGGCCACTAACGCACTCCTTTACCTCGATAAGCCAGAAATAATGCTGATAACCCCATCCTGTAAAATAAACACTGCTACAGAAACTTGAAGTCACCAGCTTGAAGCCCTAGGTTCCAGTGGGGAACGTGAAGGAAAAAAACTGATTATTTTACCTTGGTAAGTCTGTCTGTCTGTTTTCGACATAGAACTTTGCACAAATGTGCGGAAGTTCAAGTCGCCACATTCCGTGTAGCACGCGAAGCAAGAGAAGAAAGTACAAGAAAAGCATAATAGAAACAGTGAGCAGAGGTGTGAGACAAAGGAGTAATAAAGAAATACAAAACAGTTTCATTGAAGATCATAAGTCACAGGGAGTGGATGCATCTGCGCCACTGAGAACGGTTTTGAGCCATGTCACCAATTGTTTCCAACCATAGATTTTTACCGTCCCGAGGACCCCAGCCTGGAAGTCTACACCTTCCTACGTGGCTTAGACCAACTGTTGTGGATTTCATTGACTGATGCCAAGTTTTTGTTTGACCGCCGCTAGCTTTTTTCCAGCCTGACCCTATATCCGCTAACATAGCTCGTCGAGGGAGGCGATGACTTGGCATACGTAACACATGTCCTAACCATCTCAGTCGATGTAGCTTCACGACTTCGTCGATTGATTTCCCCTGTTTACCTAGAACTCTACGCCTAACCTCCATGTTGCTCACCTTATTATGCCACTTTACACGGGAAATAGAGCGCAGGCACCTATGATCAAAGACAGCTAGTCTTTTCATGTCTTCCACTCTCAGTGGCCAGGTCTCACAACCATAAAGGAGGACGGAGCGGACTGATGAGCAGTACACCCGCCCTTTGGTCGATAGTCGAACATCTCGTCTACGCCAGAGTCGGCGTAAACTAACAAATGCGAAACGAGCCCCTTGTATTCGTGCTACCTTGGTAAGTACTGCATGTTTTATCATAACTACTCATTGGAATTTTATATGATTTTCATGGTGTCCCTTGATATTTGCATCTACTTATTTTCGTATTAATTTTATTATTGCCTTTATCCTCTTTCATTTTGTTTGTGAATCACTCTTCAGGTGATTATATAATCATTTCCATTTATGCCTGTATTCCTCCCTTTACAGTAGATAATGTCTTGATTTGTGTCATAATTGATCATTCCAACTTCCTGGATAATTTTCACCTTTACTCTTATAAAAAGTCATGAACTGGTGGTCGGTTCAATTAAAGGTATATGTCTAAATTATGTCACACTGATCGATTACTCATGTAATTTATCATTATTACTGAGAATATATATATACAGATGACGAAAACCTTATGAAACAAAAAAATGAAGAATTTATTATATCCATCCCACTCCACCCCATGCCCGCCCCAGTAGAAGCCGTCCTTATCGTGTTATTCAAGTTTATCTATCAATGGTTCAGCGGAAGAATGCTTGTAAACTACGCTTCACTTGGTCCAGGGGTTCGATCTCCAACCGACACATTCCTAAACCTCACTAAGCTGCTAGTAAGGCCGATAAAAAAAGGAAGGTTGAGCGTGAGGCTAGCAACTCCACCCTATATAGAAAAATAGAACTATTGCTACCAAAATTTCAAAGCTGTAGCTTAAATTCCTTTGTCCCACCCGGAACCCAAAGGAATAAAATAAAAATCAATGGGAAATGATTACCAGTGAACAGCAACAGATACTGACTATACGTTGTATGCATGGTCCTCGTTATGATTTAATGTGTTCTGTGGTACACCAAAGTACAACAGTTAATACAACACTGACTACGAATGTTTGGCATGCGATTAGCTCCCGCTCAATGCAAGATGACGTTACAGGACTGAACTACACTGGCTCCTAGTTTAGAAATAGGGAGTGAATTGGTTGGTGGAGCACGTTGACCGCTTCACTTATTTTGGAAGTACCATCAGCCCCAGCGGATTGATCTTTGATGAAATCTAAGTACGGATACAGAAGGCTAGTTTCGCCTATGCCAGTTTACGCCATCTCTGCCATACACGTGATATCCGGCTGACTGTCGACCGAAGGGCGAGTGCACTGCTCAGCAGTCAGTTCGCTCAGTCCTCCTTTATGGCTGTGAGACCTGGCCATTGAGAGTGGAAGACACGAAAAGGCCAGCTAGCTGTCATTGATCATAGGTGCCTGCGCTCTATCTTCCGTGTGAAGTGGTATAATAAGGTGAGTAATATTGAGGTTAGGCATCGATCGATTGCTAGGCTGTTAAGGAGGGGAAATCAATCGACGAGGCTGTGAAATTACATTGACTGAGATGATTAGGACATGCGTTACGTATGCTTAGCCTAGTCATCGCCTTCCTCTACAATGGGCAATGTTAGCTGACATAGGGTTAGGCTGGAAAAGAGCTAGTGGCGGTTAAAACAAAACATGGCACCAGTCAATGAAATCTACAACAGTTAGTTCAAGCCACGTAGGAAGGTGTAGACTTCCTGGTTGGGGTCCTCGGGACGGGAAAAAACCAATGGCGGCTGGAGACAATTGGTGATATGGCTAAAACTCATCGTTCTCAATGCCTGGCGCAGATGCATCCACTCCTTTTGACTTATGATTTCCAATGAAACTATATTGTTCTTCGTTATTACTATTCCTTTGTCTCACACCTCTGTTTACTGTCTCTATTATGCATTTCTTCTACTTTCTTCTCTTTCTTTGTGTGCTACATGGAGTGTGGCGACTCGAACTGTCGCATATCGGTGCAAAGTTGTATGTCGAAAACAGACAGACAAGACTGACTAATTACTTAATCACATAATGAGCTGTGAAGTCCTTTGGTTGGAGACACTAGTGTCATGAATCTAGTCCTTAGTGTTGATGCAGACTGAACTCCATCAGTCAAGTTAGCGCAGTGAAGCCACCAACCACTATGAATTGTTGTTAGTAGATGGCTGGAGGCAATAGGCAAAAAGCCCTGCGCATGGCCTGCATTTCGTACTTGTTGGCCCTTGTGTCATCAAGTTATCAATTAGTTCCTTCGAGATGGTAGATACACCTTGCTGACACAAGTAGAGAAATCTAAGGGTTCAAGACTTCCTACCGCTTGGCCTCCAACCAACTATCATCTAACGAGCGGTGAAGTGTCTGTCCCCTATTCACAATAATTTGATGATTCTAGGATTGAATTAACTTTTACCAAAGTAGATTTTGTTATGAATCGGTATTAAATCAATCTTCTTATGAGCATCACTTCTATACTATTACTTCTAGGTTATTTTATTTTCTCTTTTAATTGCACGTGTTACATACAAAGCTTAAAAACTAACAACAGAAATCAGTCTAACCCTTAGATATATGGATTAGTTGATTGATTTACAGTAAAATCCGTTCTGCACTCGTCATTTCTTTAGAAAAAACGACAACAAAAAACCCAGTTATTCTGTTGCTATTACTACTAACAGGTACTTCATAGAGTTATAAACCTTTAAATTCTATAAAAACAATTCTATCTACTCAACCGATACGGCAATTATTATTACATCACTAATATATGCATGACAAGTAGTTAAGCTGTATATACAAAGATTATTCATCACACAACAACAACACCAACAACAAAAAAGAACTTACCGTGTTTTAATTCTCTTTCAATAATAATACGATTACTGCGTTGTACATTGTATGTTGAATTTTGTGAAGGATAACTAGGAGTCAGTATAGGCATAAGATGATACTGATCTGGTGGATTTAACTAAGATGTTAATAAATAGTCAATGGGGGGAGGAGGTAAATAAAGAGTGAGGGAAAACCTTGTTAAAAAAATTGACAATAAATAATAACATAAGAACAACAGCGGTTTATGCAGGATAATATAGTAACATCATTTATCTCGTTGGCTTCTTATCAGCCGCTTACAGCCTAAATAAATTATGAGGTTTACGTACAGAAATGTTTTAACATACTTGCAAACGTTTTTATCCTCATGATGTCAGTTGAAAGGAGGTTCCGGGATTAGTGAACAGTGCTCAGAAAATAGCGCTTATATAGTTTTTACACAGGCAGCTCAAGTCTAAGCAAAATAAATGTATGCATACAATGGTAAAAGGAGTTACGTAATAAAGACGAGAGGTGAAGTGACCTTGACACGGGTCATGAGGTGGAAATCGAGAAATCCTTTAAAATTATCAATAGACGTAGGAGTTCTATTCTCCCCAAGTATGCCGAAGCAATTTCTACCGAACGCTTCAAACCAGATTTATGAGTTCAGAAAGAAGCAGTTATTAGTCTTTCTTTGCCCTGATAACTGGATGTCGTTATTCTCTCATCGGATTACGTAATCTCTGTCTTAAACCACAACCCCCTTTTTCATATAGTCTGTAATTTTGCTTGTCTCTTGCTTCTATGACGTGAGTTAGACTCAGCACATCTTTACCTAATTTATTAGTCACTCATCATCTTACTCATCTTTTGTCTTTATACGTAACTCCTTTACTGTTGTATGCATACATTTATTTTTTTTAAACTCGAACTGCCTGTGTAAAAACTATATAAGCGCTATTTTCTGAGCACTGTTCACTAATCCCGGAACCTCCTTTCAACTAACATCATGCGGATAAAAACGTTTGCAAGTATGTTAAAACATTTCTGTACGTAAACCTCATAATTTATTTAGGCAGTAAGCAGCCGATGAGAAGCCAACGAAATAAATGATGGTACTATACTATTCTGCACAAACCACTGTTGTTCTAGCTTTATTCAAATTCATCAAGGGGAATAAATGCATGAAATAACATAAGAGATTATATGATTGTAATATATTTAAGTATGGACAAACAATCAGTCAGGCATCAGGCTTTTATCAGGTTCATTGTGTGACAAGCACCAGATAACCAACCAACCACGCAGGTGAAGTTTGCGGCTGGCGCAATCTTAAACCTCCCCTCCTCACACTCTAGTTTACTTGCTGATAGTAAGTTCAGAAAACGGAAGTAGGTTGGATATATGAGGCTTGCAACCACACGTCGTAAAAGTAAAAAAAACCACCACCGCAGCCGCCAACTATTGAGACTTCAAAGCTCAAAGCTTGAAATCCAATAATGAATGCTATACTCAGAACTTAAAAAAGTGAAAGCAAAATACCAATCAAGCAAAACACAACAGTAACAGAGCATACGAAGATTGGAACATATTCCAATTTTTTCAATTTGTTGTTAGTGTTGTCACCGGAATTACTACAAATACTCCTCTATATGGCCAAGTGCTCATAGTCTCTGCCAGGTAAATCCCATCATCCACAGCCTTCACGCGACGACAGCTATTCTTCACGAAAGTGCAAGGGTGGATTTGAACATACAACAGTGCCTACAGCCTAAGTGGTGGAAATGCTGATCTATACTGATTCCAAACCTCTTATGGTGTAAATGGTCTACAGAATCCAAGAGGACCGAAGAGCGTATGAACCTGTTTTGATAACCAAAAACCATGTGTACACAGCTGCTCCTGACATCGCTGCACTGCTTTGTGGATAAGATTTCAGGTCAAAGGCTCAGGAGGATGACCACTTGAGACAATTAACCGCTTCGATCTTGACGCTGAGGCAGTATTACAGCCTCAGGCTCGCACGAACAATCACACAACGATTCATAAGAGACTAAAACTGCACGCTTACTATTGTTAGAACCCAATTACCATGAGCAGATTTTTTGTGTATCAGGCTATCAATCACACATCATACACAGGCAGGTTGAAGTAGGCGGAGCTGACGGGATTCCAGCTCGGGACGCATTAACTGAAAGTCAGGTACTTAAGCCAATAAATCTCATCTCTAAGCAGTTTCTTGTAAGACGCATAATTCTCCGTAGAAATCACCTGATTTTTCAAAGTAAAATAACTCAAAACTTAAAAGGTATACAAACATATCTGGAAAACATATGAGCGATATATTCATAAACAAACAACTAACCCTTGGATCCCAAACAGGTAGGCATAAACTAGCAATATATTCAGACTCTCTTAGTCTGACAGGTTTTGGCCAAGGCCATTGACTGAATATTTTGAAAAATAAATAAACAATCATAGATGGTGTTGCATAGGGATACAGTTGACAGATTCGAGAAACTAGGATTGCCCATGATACCCCGCCAAGGAAACCCAATGCATTGGAATATACATTTCTACGTTTAGCCCAGATTCGGATAACCTTTAAAAAAGAATGACATGAAAATATATCATTTAAATAAGGTAAGGATGACAAATGTACCAGGATAATATGAGCTTAATGTTCAATTATTTCAAGGATTCTTCTCAACTGGCCACAACAATCTGAATACAAACGTATAAATTACATTAGAGATTTGAAAACATACCTTTGCCACGATGACTAGGAGTAATTGGTGATAGGAACTAAGAGTGACACATTAGTCAACAGAGATGTAAGTTGTTAAATAATTAAGAGGGAAAAGGGCTGATTATTTGTAGAAAAATTAGATGCTTGGAGACAAAAGGACAGAGTTTAAAAGACTTTTGTGGGTAGAAACAAAGTTGTTTAACTAGAAAGAGTATAACAAATAATAGACTACTTAACCACAGTAAATATGCTTTTATAAAAATAGGAGAAAAGGGGGGGCGTTAGAGTGAGTCATATTTAGACGAAAAATAATGTTTTCTAAACAGGTGTCCAATAGATAGCGCGCGATAGCATTGCTTCCCCAACGGCCAAGCGAAAAACGAAGTGAATGCGCGAATCTCCAACGCCCGGAATGCGTTTCTACAGCTGAGGAGCGTTCTATGGAGCAAGAGAGAAATCAGTCTCAGGACTAAAATTCGGGTCTACCAAGCTTCCATACGACCCGTTCTGCTGTATGGCTGTGAAACCTGGCCTCTTCGTGCGGAAGATTTACGCAGACTCGAGGTATTAGACCATTGGTGTCTCAGGTACATTCTGCATGTTCGTTGGCAGGACAAACTCTCCAACGAAGAAGTGCGTCGTCGTTGCTACAACATCAACCAAATTTCAGTACTGGTCCAACAACGCCGCCTTCGGTGGTTTGGCCATGTTCTGCGCCGACCAGATGACGATCTGGTCAAATCAGTTCTAAATCCCTCGCCATTACCATCTTGGCGATGTCGCAGAAGCGGACAGCTGAAGACATGGCTTGGTACAGTCAAGGCAGATATGGAGTGCCTGGGGCTACAAACCGTCTACGGACTCCGTATGTGGAACAAGAGTTGGATATCCCTATCCCAAAACCTTGCTTCAGATCGCCGCGCCTGGGCAGCGATGACTCGAGACGTTCATGAAGCCGGCTCATCCTCCCGTAGGAGATAGCCGAAGTAAAGTAAAGTAAGTAAGATAGCATTGCTTAATGCCTGTGAACTCTTTAGTCGTCTCAGGTTTTGTGGTATGTGTTCAGAAACGCGGAAAATAACTCTTCTCTCTGTTCTTTCAGTGCATTTGCTTTGGCACGTATATGTAAATTGGTAGACAAAGCTGAAGGTAAATATGAAGTGAGAGTTTATCCTCTTCTGACTGTCTTCAACGAGTGATCGTTTGGTAAACACATACAAGCTCGGCGACTGGATATGTTCTTTGCAGGGTAGTTTTCAGTTTGCGACTTATTTTACTGAGAGTATCATTACTTTTGAAGGTAAGCTGTAGAAAGATAAACTTTTTCTCTACTATGTTGTAATTCCCTTCGCCAACACTACATTTTTCATGTTGGTCAATGAACTTCAGCGGGTAACCATTGTCACACAATCATTTTTCCACAATGGATAGCTCTGCCTCCACCTTTTCTTCTGAGCAAAGCTTCTTTACACCATTAAACAGTTTTCGCATCAATTCGTGCCTGTAACATATAGGGCAGAAGCTTTTGAAGTGCAGATGGAACGCCCTCCAGGTCTCTTTTTTTGCTTACAATTTACATCATTCCTGACTAATGTCACAAATTACTTCTGGTTATCGTGGAAAAGTATCTACAAATCTTTAACGTAATTTATATTTTCGTATTGTTCAGACTGTAGCTAGTTGAGAACAATCCTTGAAATAATTAAAACTGAGCTCATATATGATATTTAAACAAAAAATAAAAATACTTAACTGATTGGTCGTCAGTGCGTCGGTGGCACAGCGGTTAGGACACTCGCCGACCATGCACATGGTCCGGGGTTTGAACCCCGGACACCGAAGCACTACTTCACCTCGCTATGCCAGAAATAATACTAGTAAAGAGGAAAGGTTGGGCATGAGCCTAGCAACCCCATCCTGTAAAAAAATAAAACTTGCTACAGAAACTTCAGAGCTCTAGCTTGAAGCCCATGTTCCACTGGGAACGTGAAGGAAAAAAGATTTGTCGTCAGACTCACTTACCTTGAGTGCTACTTTGAAAGAATTTTTATTATAGACTAGATTGAGAATGTCTTCAGTTACACGGACACCATTAATACTGCGTACATCTCGCTCATCCATATTACGCATTAATGCGTCAGTGTTTTCGCATAGATTGAAGTTTTCTGGTATAGACATTTGATCAATTTGTGCAAACAGAAGGTCAATCTATAGAAAAATATGTTATACACTGTCTAATAATAAAACACTTACTTCAACTCCCATAAATTTCATCTTAAGCACTGGGACAAACGCGTCTACTACAGCGTGTAAATCTTCTACATTAGGATTTTCTTCTAATACACTCTGGAAATCACTAAAAAATTCCTCGCGTGTTATAAACCGCGGGACAACCAGTAAGGAATCAATATCTGCACCTTTGAAATTGACACCTAAACGATATGAACCGAAAGTGAAAATTTTTCCCGTTGTAGAATTGGCGACATGTGGCGGGAGATTTTGTTCAAGTGCTTTTCTTCGAATCCAAGCATTGGATATCTCTTGTAATTGTACAAGAGCCTCACGTCTTTGTGATATCTCTTCAGGTGTTTCAAAAATATTGAGTTGTGCAAGGCTAGCTTCAAGCTCTTGTGTATCTTTTATATCTTGTTCTGTTGGTTTCTTGAAACTAAGAGCTCCTGTTTCTCCAAGACACCTAGCTGGTATTTCCTCACCATTCATCTAAAAGGAAAAAGGAATTAAGACACTTCGACACACAAGAATTAACTTTGAAATAATTAATGCGTAGTCAGACACTCAAATAATAACTGAGGATTGACAGGTGAAGCTTTAAAAAAGTTAAGTAGTGTGTGAATTACCGGGCAAAATATCCAACACCCTATAAGTACATACATTTCTAATTTTAATACTCGGCACAGCAGCAAACATTCCGTTGTATTTTTGCGAAAGTACATTTAGTGTATCTGTTATAAAACATTAAAAATGCGTCACAATATCATGGCGGAAACATATGGTATTAGGTCTTGACGGACACCATACATACAACTCTAGAAAATTCGCTATAACCTCGCTCAGCATCCCAGTTACTTTAACCAAAGTGGGATGGGATTCAAATATGTGATTCACTGTCTAGGATTCAAATACTTAAAATGATAAGCCACATCACAGGGATGTCAATTCAAACTATTGGTTACGACTGATACGAAGCTGACGGTCTTCGTTGAATTATTAAGAGTTGTGGAAGTGAACCAATTCCCTAAAATAAAGTTATGCCTTACAGGTCACCTGAAACTAAGATGGATGCTACTGCTGAAGGGAGCATTCATCTAAATGATTCATATTCTGGTAACTAAAAACACCATAAGGAAGCCATGAGCTATGCTTTGCATATATATATATATATATATATATATATATATATCACCTCCAAAGCCTCAGGATGGTCGGGGGTGGGTGTCTTGCGCTGCGGGTTGGCCACCCCTCCGTACACCTCTTGAAATGCTCCCATATGACCGGGCGTCTTACATAGCCTCTCCTGAGGAAGTCCTACTCACTGCCTTCACGTGGCGGAGGTGTTTTTTCACCAAAGTGAGAGGGCAAAAGCGGATGCCCGGCGCTCTTCACCGGGTTGACTGTCCATTGGATGACAGTCTAGGGGAGATGGCTAAACCCTGATTCCAAACCTCCAACGACTGGCGTATGAAGCTCACCGGCAGTCGTATGGAAAAAGGGCTTATTGGATGTCCTGGATGACTGGCCCCATTCAAAAAGGCGAATGAACCGGACTCCGGTCACCGTCTGCCAATGGATAGTGGACTCCCTACTCCACTCCTACTGCCTTGTAGGTCACACTCGGTTGTGTAAAGGCTAGAGCTGAACTCTCAAACAAAGACCGAGCGATGCTGGGGACATCACTCGTACCCAATTCCCATGAAACTTCATGGTTCATGAAGCCGGCTCATCTTCCCGTAGGAGAGCCGAAGTAAAGTAAAGTAAGTTTGCATATATATATATATATATATATATATATGAAACATTTGTAGCCATTCACCAGGCATTGTGGCCACTTGCTGCCAACCTGACTACAAGCCGCTCCCCTCCCATGACTGACTGACGTTTTAATGCAGAACTTTGCAAAAAAGTGCATCACTTCAGGTCGTCATACCTTATAAAGCAAATAAGTATCAAGGAACTATAGTTCAACGTAGAAAGAACAAATGTGGAGAAAAATGAGAATTTGATGGATCTGGAAGACTAAAAGAAGGAGTGAAGGCATCTGCAATAGGGAACAATTTTGGCCCATATCCAAAACTAACAGTCTCCAGACACTGATCCTCTGTCTTGAAGAGTATAAGCAGAAAGTCTATACAAATAACACATTTCTTAGTCATCCCAATCAATACAATCTCTTGCCTAACACTAAACCGAACGTCAATATTACTCACCACATAATACCATTCAACATGTGGAAAAATAATGAAAATATTTATGGTCAGAGACAACTAGGTTCTTTAATTCCCTCGCTTTCAATGGAAATTAAAAAGGAATAAAGCAAATTGCTGTGTGGCACACACATCCTCTGAACGATAACCATATCTATATCAGAGATGACAAGTTAACAAGTGCCATGTAATCCCTTTTTATCTGTCCTGAGATTTCTCCAGCGAACAGTTCATCAGGACCGTATCCCATATCTTTAGGCTGGGAGTCCGTGAGGACAGGTGATACAGCATCACCTCCCATTTGGTAACCACCACCTGTGATAATGGGATATTTCACTAAACGCACGAGATATACAGAATAAGCCGAATGTTTATGGTCAAACTACGCCAGAGGGATAGAGGCTATCGAAAAATGTTACGATTGCACCGCTGACAGAATCTGATGACGATAAGGTGCTTTTGTGGGAAGGCGCATAAGCTAGGTGTTTTCTCCGCTTTCTGGTCATCTCGAGTTAAAAAGGACCAACCGCAAAACATTAACGTCCAGGCAAACCCACATTGCACAGCTACGAAACTACTCCTTTTCTGCTTTCTGGTGAGACAAGAAGCCCCCTATCAAATCAGTTATGAAGAGTCAAAGGTTTATATACACGTCTGTACCGTTTGGTTACCTTTTTAGGGTGTTAGCTTTCTATGCCAACGCATCTACAGCATCTTTTAATTCGTCTTCTAAGATGCATACAAATTAATGCGTCGCATATGGCCTCCTGAAGTTGCATTCTAAACTACATATCAGTGCTTTGAATTTGTATGTTTCATATCAAAAACCAATGGACACGTCCCGACAGCAACTGTTGTGGCAGCGCGATATGTAGTATCGCATAGAAAGTTCTTGAGATGTCTCCATGACAAATCCATAGAGAACCCCACACATTAGTACATTAATTCCAGTTACTTACATCAAAAAGCACAACGTTAACGATATTACTATCTACAAAGTTGTGAAAGACGATTAAATATCACCGATTTTCACAATTTGGAAATTAATGAATGAATACACATAAACCTCTAAGAATAAGCTTTGGGTCATACTGCCAGGGGTTCCCGACCACTGATTTTTAGCAACTCAAGAACTTTAGTCGGGCAACCGACGACCAAAGAGAAGCAAAGGAAGCAGTGGGCTAATCACTTCAAAGGTTACAAAAAGATCACTACCTACAACCCGTCCAGAAATATCAAATCAGCCACAGAAGTGCCAGTGAACAGCAGTCCCCCAACAAAACAGAATGCCATAAAGTTAATGAAAGCCAATAAAGTAACAGGACCAGAAGCATTGAAAGTGGAATCACAAACCTTAGTGGATATCCTCATACCACTCCTACAGGAGGAAAGGTACCTACCGACTAGAATAAAGGCTATCTTGACAAGCTACCAAAGAAGTGCAGCTTAAGTGTTTGTGAGAACTGGTACAGAATCATGCGCCTGTCTACCGGAAACAAAATATAGTCCAGTCATAACGCAGAGACAAGCTGGATTCAAGGGCAGATTATACATCGATGAAGTTGCAAAGCTACACATAATCGAACAGAGTATAGATTGGCAGTCAACTCTCCACTTAAACTCCATTGACTCTAAAAAGGCCTTCGACTGCGTCGATCACGAGGTAATATGGAAGTTGCTTCAAGACTACTTAGTACCACGAACATACGACAACACTGCATGTTGAGAAATTCACAGAGGAAAAGTCAGAAAAGCCTTTGAAATGAAGATGAGGCTACCTACAATAACCGATTATACTCCCGATTGCGTGTGGACTGGATCATGCAACATGTAGCGGGAGAACACGGTTATGCCATGCAACAATAAAAGGACGACTTGAACTTATGTCTATAACCCTCACTGTTATTACTAACCATAGACATCCACCTAACACAAACAAGTACACAAAGGTATGTGAGATTTAAGAGTTCTAATATCTTATATCTAGTTTTATTCATATTTAGGAAATATTGTAAAACAAGTTGCTGTGCAGAATATGCTTTTGCAGCAGACAGCTGAACGTACACGCTAAACATTCCCAGACTTTCGTTTAACATGTTTGTCATCGTGTTCACATAAAAAGGAGTATGTCGTTTAAGCACTCTACACCCATCAGATATCCTAGAATGAAGACAAATCCTTAGATGTAGTAGTCATACATAAACACTAATCAGTACATTTGTAAAGAAATAAGATTAGTGGCACTGAGTATCTCCAGTAAACCTCACTGGTTGTCGTCACTAGAGATTCCCATAACCCCTTAAATGACTGCATGAGTCCGAACAGTTTAATATACATTGTCATTATACCTCTAGACAGCTAAATGACAGTAATCCGAATGCGGCGATTTACTCGGCCCATGGAATATCCGTCTGTCTGTCTGTCTGTTTTCGACATAGAACTTTGCACAAATGTGCGGAAGTTCAAGTCGCCACATTCCGTGTAGCACGCGAAGCAAGAGAAGAAAGTACAAGAAAAGCATAATAGAAACAGTGAGCAGAGGTGTGAGACAAAGGAGTAATAAAGAAATACAAAACAATTTCATTGAAGATCATAAGTCACAGGGAGTGGATGCATCTGCGCCACTGAGAACGGTTTTGAGCCATGTCACCAATTGTTTCCAACCATAGATTTTTGCCGTCCCGAGGACCCCAGTCTGGAAGTCTACACCTTCCTACGTGGCTTAGACCAACTGTTGTGGATTTCATTGACTGATGCCAAGTTTTTGTTTGACCGCCGCTAGCTTTTTTCCAGCCTGACCCTATATCCGCTAACATAGCTCGTCGAGGGAGGCGATGACTTGGCATACGTAACACATGTCCTAACCATCTCAGTCGATGTAGCTTCACGACTTCGTCGATTGATTTCCCCTGTTTACCTAGAACTCTATGCCTAACCTCCAGTACTGATTTTCAAATAAAAGAAGCATTCCGTGGCTTGATTACTTTCAAAGTCGACGACGCCGTTTTCAGGGGATAGGCTTTTATGAAGTACACACTTCAGTTCTAAATATCCACTATTGATGTCCTATTGCAAATTGGTGGTTGGAATATGTATTGACATAGAGTGGTAAACAGGTTAGAAACAACGTTCAACAACAGCCTTTGCCAAAACGGTAGGGTCTCTGATATTTATATTCTCACAATCACTGGATTCCTAGATCTTTTCCTTTCTGTCAAACTCCGAAGACTAAATAATGAATCGACTTATACTTGTCACACAACCTCCGGACAGGTTTTAAATACAATTTTAATAATTATTTGTATAAGCAAAAATGTTACTACGTCTTATTCATAGAAGTATTCAACCTTAGTGGGTTTCACAGTTTCACTAGTTTTAATTCGGCTTCTTTGAACTAGTAATGCTGAACAGTTCTACAATAAGTGTGACTAAGACTAGTTGTATTGTGGATTATTAGATTACGCACTAAATCAAAAGACTTCTGGTCTGAAATCCGCTTAACCTGCATCGACCTGGATAACATGATTGGTCCTCACGCAATGTGGTCAATAACTGGGCACCGAGTAACTCAGTTCGAATCAACCAATAACCGTAACTGGATCGCACAAAGGTTATAGATGACAAACAGCAATCAATTCGACACTCTTCAACTGAAGGTTTCATAACTATGGGCCTGCTTGATGCAGGCGCAAATCGCTCCGGCTTTTAAACTTCCTGGTAGGACGGGTTTTTTAAAACTAACTTTTGAGCAGTCTCTAAATTACATACTAACAGTTAAGACTTCGATAGAATAAATTCAGCAGTACGTATGAACCCAGGACTGCTATATGTAAGATAGGTGATCGTATAATTTGACCGACTCGGAATTTATAACCAAATAACATTAGGATATGATTAGGTAACAGAAGTATTTACATAAATGTATTACAGACAACCAAAGTGATGTGGAATCAAAAACTTATTAAAATACACAAAAATCAGATACTCTGGTATGTCAAAAAACAACTGGTTCGTTAGGATAGAGTATGACCCCTAAATGATAACACCTCAAAAGGACAGTTTTGCGTTTGCCGCTCGAAAGAACACGCAATGTAACGATTTCACGGTCCTAGTACTAAGCACCCAAAGAAATGACATCAGATACAGTTAGGAAAAGTGGCGACCATGCTGAGAATTAACAGTGTAAGCAGTCACAATGCTATGGTCGTGTTGGTTACATGGCCGTAATCATGGTGCTACTGCGCCAAGTTACCATACAAGAGGACCAATATTAGAACGTAGTTTGATATCCGACTAACCATACATCCAAGACGATATAACATCAATGTATTTGCCCCGAGGAAAAGAAGCTTCACTACGGCATGTAAGTCATTTACTAACGTGGAGTAAAGAATATCACCAAACTAACCTACATGTTCAGTTATCTTTTTCCTCCAAAAACCATTCACTTTGACGACATACGGGTAGTTGACATGCTGGGGAACGATTCCAGAATTCAGCATTAAGTTATCGAAATTTAAACTAGGGCATTGGAATTCACCCGCCAAATCCTTATACATAATTTCACGTAATTTTGTTCACGGAAAGACATTTACATTCTATTACTACAGGTATACCTGTAGTAATCTACTCATGATAAAATCTTCTAGACAATCGCTATTGTATGTGAATAAACCGTGGTTTTTCAGAATCACGTGTTTCTAATGGTGACGAATTGCCATGGCAAAAACTTAAATACAGAGTTACTGTAACAATTTCACATCCAAATTGACTCTGCGACTTCGATATGTGGTAATTACAAGCAATTATCGATATCAATTTGTAACGAAGAATCTCAAAACAGACATCGTTAGTGTCCCACTAAATGGAGCATTTCGGCAGTTAAATATGACCTTCATTCAACATTTTTGAAAAGGAAGAAATTATATATTCAATGGGTAAAAATGATACGTAGTACGCTGAAAACAATACATCATGAAAATGGCGAGCGTACCGCATCTAGGCATTTAAAACGAATGTCCCACAACACTAAGAACTATGTAAAACACCTTCAATGTGTGAAATGATAAGTGAATATAGAATAAATATTTTCGCAATATAAAGTTGCATAACGAAGTTTTAAAAGTCTAAAAATATGCATTCTTCGGTTTCTACACTTATATAATACATCTGAAAATGCTACACAACTTCAGACTAATTACGTTATCATCGTCATACTAAATAATAATTTGGTGAACAGTTTCCAGATTATTGAAGCCTAAGTTGATAAAACTTTTAAGTAATTTTACAGGGGGCGATACTACCGTATCTTTTGATGTATAATATATCAAAGAAGCTGAATCGCGGATTCCCTTACATGGGGATATGCATCTCCCTAAGTAGAGGAAGAAACAGTGCCAAGTAGTTGAAGAATGAACGATCAATTCATGGTTGTGTGCTCAAAACCAACTTCCCTAATTTTCGCGGAGGCATCAATACGACAGTCATCGTCTCATCGATCGCTGTTCAGAAAGAAGTCAGGAGACAACTGTCAGAAGTAATATTGTGATTCATTATTGTAATATTTGTTCACAGAGCTTAGTTGTAACATTGATTATATACTGGTGTTAGAAGAAATAATTCTCGAGTCACCAAACTGGGTTCTGCTTTTCGCGTGCGTTAGTGCAGATAATTAGATGCGGATAATTAGACAATAATTCCCCCGTATGGGATATATACACATTTTTACTCAAATCAGTAACCACATGACATACCGAACTGCCTAGCCACATGCGCACTTTGGATTCTCTCTCTTGCAATAGCACCTTTTGTAATGCACATTGGTCATGTGAATGAAAGATGTTACATATATATAGTCTATTGAGGGTAAAACCTCAGCAAAACATAGGTTCGCACAATATTTGATATAGCAGAAACCATTATCCAGAACTGCACAATGATGACTTATAGTTCCCTAGCTACAACTTTTTCATCTTTCTAAAGTTCCGAACTTCCCTCACCCATTCTTTATAGGGCTTCTTTTTCGTCTTCATGTGGTAGTCGTAATTGCGGATTCAGCACAACCCCGCAGGTTGCTGTCCCCGGTGCATTTTGATGTAAATTTATATGTTTATATGAAAATATACATTATTATTATAAGTAGTATTCACTGGGTATTCATTTTCACCAAAAACATTTGCCTGGCTACGATATTAGTGGCTGAAGATAGAAGAGACGGTCTGTTCCCTTATGTCATTGCGTCGGTTGCACAGTGGATAGGACTCTCACCGACCATGCACATGGTCCGAGGCTCGATCCCCTGCCGACGCACACCTGATATCTATGGTCGGCCTGCGAAATTTGGGCTACCGACATCACATGCTGAAAATTCCACACCTTTACCAAAAATATACTACGTGGAATCCAGCTGAAATAAAAAATCAAAGTCAATAAATTCCACGATTCCAACACTGGAAAGCGAGCTGTATACATTTGTCAGGGCGTAATGAATGCTGTGGAGCAATGTGCACTTGCTGAAACTATAACTAGGAGGAAAGTTATTTCAGCCGATATAACGTCAGTTCTGAGAACACTAGACGCACTCAAGGCTGTTATCAGTCGATTTATCTCATAAGGAAGAGAAGAAGAAGCTGATAATTCATCCCCTGAGTGATCAAATGTATTGTGACTTTGAGTGAAAGCACCAATCGACGCCTAAAAATCACAGCGTACAACAATGATGTTTCCGGTATCCTAAACACAGTAGGAAAGCCAACTGTCAATGTAGTTGAAGATTGAACGATCAGTTCATGGTTGTTTGCTCAAAACCAACTTCCCTAATTTTCGCGGAGGCATCAATACGACAGTCATCGTCTCATCGGTCGCTGTTCAGAAAGAAGTCAGGAGACAACTGTCAGAAGTAATATTGTGATTCATTATTGTAATATTTGTTCATAGACCTTAGTTGTAACATTGTTTATATGTTGGTGTAACAATAAAGAATCCTCGAGTCGCCAATTGATGTTTTGGTTTTTGCGTCCGTTATTACTAAGCGTTTCTGAGAAACTTCTACGAATAGCGTGAGCCCGAGTGCAGCAAGAGCTGGGCATGGACGGTTTACGAGACGTGGCTGACAGTTTCTGACGGTACAACGTCAGTTTCCAAACGGTTTTGGACATTTGGCACGACTTTGGATAGTCACCGTTCATCTTTCCTGGTGCCGGTCAAGTCCTCTTTGAACAAGCAATATCTAGAACATTTTTGCAATTGGGTCAAGTTCAACAATGCCTGGGTCAAAGAAGGGACAGAGCGTCTTGGATGCAAACAGGAAAGTAAGTCATGTTGACTTGTCTGTTAATTGTAACGATGTGTCTGATGTTAAACATGACATGGTTGATGTTACTGTTTCGCCGTTCACGGATAATAGGAACACCAAACTCGCTAAATTTGAACCACGGTGTTTCGATGGAAACCCAGCTGATTATTCACAGTTTGTAAGGGAATTTGAAATCATGTTGAGTGGTTTTTTATTAACTGATGAAATGAAGTAAATGTATTTGATGAGGTATAGCACTGGAATTCCTGCAAGAGCTATACAAGTGTATCCACCTCAGAGAAGTGGATATCGAGAAGGCTCGATGATGTCTAGTAATGCATATAGATCTAGTGAGTGTAACAGGTTTCGTAGTACATCCTCAACAGATAAGTTACAAGATGCAAGACAAACACGGTTGTGTTTTACACGTTTGCAAGAAGTGCATACATAGGTGAACTGTGAACCAGTGGGCAAGTTCAGTGATAAGCTAAATGTGAAATCAAGGTCTGACTCCGAATTGTGTGACGATAACGGTGCGGTGAAGAAGTCTGTAGTTGCAACTGGCAAGCCATTGTTGAATAGAGTGTCACAGAATAGAGTTATTGCTTCAGAGTGCAGTTCTGACTCCGCCAGTTCACAAGGTATTACTAGTCAGAGTGAAGGTATGAAATCTTTAGGGATTTGTGAGGAAGGACCCAAATCATCTACTGCTGTTAGTAAAGAGTTTGAAATTGCTGAAGTCGACCAGATAGATGATGGTAAATTGAATATTTGTGATAATGATCATGATAGTGCAGATTTGTCTTTGGTTGATCATGATGAAATGAGGGGAATGCCTACTACTGCTAAGTTGAATAAAGGTTCTGTACAACTACAACGTGAAGCAGGATTGAATGCAGTTGCAGAAGGCATGGATACTTGTGAGACCGTCAGTGTAATTGATCAGTGTGTAGCCCACATATCATCAGATGATAGTGCTAAACCCGAACTAGTAGTGAAAGACAGCAGTGGTGGTAATCTTGCAGTTAGACAACTATCTGAAAGCCGAACAACAACAGCTTCTGATCCACCGCTAAGTTCATCAACTGGTATCAATCAGTCGTCGTTGGTGTTGTCATCCACAATGAGAAGGGCGCCCATCAACTCAAGTATCTTGTGCAATGACTATGATAGTATCGGTGCATTTGAAAAGACGAAAGATATTGCTCAGTTCAGTGAGGATAAGCCAGGTGTAAACGAGAGAGTAATTGTTAAATTGACTTGCATGAATAAAGACGTTTCCGGTTTCAAGTTACTATTTGAATGCTATTATCTTTGGTGTAAATTACTCTGTTTCTACACTTGGTTGACCAGATACGTCGTGTGTTTGTTCGTCATCTATATTCTACGATACAATGACATGGGCGTGTTACCGTTCAGATTTGAGGATATAGCTGATAGTAGGAGGTCAGCAAATGAACTCTCCGGCGATTTTCCAACCTAGAGCGTCAACCTGAGAAGGGTTGTAGGCGTACTGGTGTAAGTCCTGCGATTCTTCAAAGGAATTCCATCAAGACATGATCCGTGAGGTTATTTGTACTGTTTGTGTATACGTGTGGTGTGTCATATCAATTGTTGCATTTTGGATTAATTGTGTTTACTTTTTGTTTTCGTACCTTGTTGTTATTGCATAATTTTGTTAAAATTTTCGTCATGATTACTTCTGAAGTTGTTTCGAGTCTTCTACATCCGTGAATGAATTGATTGATGTTAGAGGCAGCAGATGGGTCGTATACGCCGGGGAGGCTAGGCTACTGCTGAGAATGAAATGCATACGGAGATAATTGTTAGCTGCGGTCCCACACGCCGGGGAGAAAAAGGCTCGCATAAGTCACCGTTACTAGAACTGAGGCAGAATGAGTGACAAGCGATTGCAGTGGTAATTGGTAGTGAGTAGATACGAGGATATGCGTAGAGTATCGTGAGTTGGTGCTATGATCACGTTGCATTCTGCAAGAGTCATTCTAGCAAGTGGCGATTGTGTTGCAAGAGGATGCCTTTAACTGGAAGGCGAAGATCGTCGTCGATGAGTGAGATTGTGCTATGGGTATGCCTGTGGCGTGTTGGCTTTTCTGTTTGTTTTCCATTACAGCTTTGTCCGTGTGACCCAGGTTCTCGCGATGGCCTCCAAGTCAACGTGTATTGGTCGTGATGAAAAAGGGATGGATCCGTTTTCTGCCGGGGAGTGTCAATGTAGTTGAAGATTGAACGATCAGTTCATGGTTGTTTGCTCAAAACCAACTTCCCTAATTTTCGCGGAGGCATCAATACGACAGTCATCGTCTCATCGGTCGCTGTTCAGAAAGAAGTCAGGAGACAACTGTCAGAAGTAATATTGTGATTCATTATTGTAATATTTGTTCATAGACCTTAGTTGTAACATTGATTATATGTCGGTGTTAGAATAAATAATCCTCGAGTCGGTGGCACAGTGGCTAGGACACTCGTCGAGCATGCACATGGTACGGGATTCGATCTGGCACCGACGCACCCTTGATATCTTTGGTCGGCGTGCAAAATTTGGGCTGCCGATATCCATGCTGAGAATTGCCTACTTGTACCGAAAATACAGTGTGGAATCAATCTGTAAGTCAAAAATACAAAATAAATAAAAAAATAAATTGGTGTTTGGTTTTTTCGTCCGTTATTACTTAGCGTTTCTGAGAAACTTCTAGGAACAGCGTGAGCCCGAGCGTAGCAAGAGCTGGGCATGGACAGTTTACGAGACGTGGCTGACACATGTATAGAATAATAATATAATGTATTTCATCCAAATTTTAAAAAAAATTACATGAAAATGCATGCCCTTTTTACAGGCACGATCAAGTAAGATATAGTCTCAAATCTCAGATTGTCTACAAGTTAATCATATTTCAACTGTTAAATATTTGATACATATAATACACTCATCGTCTGAACTACGCCGTATAGTTGTTGAATTGTGCAATTGTCCTCCAGGTTGAGCGGGAAAATCGACTTCGTTTCGTTTCCATCCCGTGGTTGTCGGCATTCGATAACCAACCAATATTGAGGTAAGTACAACTTCTACAAGGGATTCAAAGCTGTTTTAGAAAAGTAAATGTGCTGAGGTGAATCATTAAATTGTAATGAAATAGGTAAGTGCAAGTATCATTAATAAATGCACTTATAAAGGAAACTCCCTAGGCTGGCAACGTTCATTTGCAGTGTATAATGCTACACGTATATCTCGTACTATCATGATGTCCACTTTTGGTTTTAATACATTTATCCTCAGCTGTGCCAGTTGTTTTTGTTTTATACCTTTTTGTGCATTTAGTGCACAACCGTACCCTTCAGAGAGTAGGAATATAATAAGTCATAAAGAGCTGTAAAATGTTAGTTTTAATGGAGTAAAATGAGGATCAAGTAAAGACGTTATTAGAAAATGAATGAGATAAGACATTTTGAACTGGTATT